GGGCGGCCGGGACGAACGCTCCTCCCCGGGGTGGCTGGAGGGGCGGTTTCGAGCCTGCCCGGCCGTCCGGCTGCGCTGAGCCCGGAGCGCGGCCGGGCGGTGGCCTGTCGCTCCCATGTCGGTCCCCGGAGGCGCCTGTGGATGGGACCGAGGGCCCCAACCAGGGTCCAGGCCTTTTGACCCCAACGCAGTGCTCTTCCCGCAGGACATCCCCCGGTATGGAAGCCCCCTTTGGGAGAGATGGACCGCAGAGCCCCTGGGGTTGGGGGAGGGGGTGTCGGGAGATTTCGGGGGCCCCCCGGTAAGGGGTGGGCCTGCACTGGCCCCTGCCCCCCGGGCCTGGCGGGGGGCCCTGCCTGACCCTTCTTGCTAGAGNCGGGGCAGCTGCCGCTCTGTTGGGGGCTCCCCACCCCCAGCCGCCACGCCCTCTGCTGCTGACTGGGGGCCTCGGGCGGGGGTGTCGGGGCGGAGCTGGGCACCGCGTCCTGGGCACCTTTGTTCTGGCTGCAGGATGGCAGCGGCCTTGCTGGGCTCCCTGGTGCAGCCTGAACACTTCTCCGAGGTTTCTGATGTTTGGGGTGCTGGGGTCCGGCTCGGGGCTGAGACGGGAGCTGCTGTTGGGTGGAGAGTCTCTGGAGCACCATCTCCTCGTCTCCCTAAGCGGGGTGCGGGCCCCAGGGCCGAGGGAGTGGAGATGGTGGCGATGCCCCAGGGGCCTCTTCAGGGCTGGCCTTTGGGTTCACTGGACATTGCACGGTGGGATTGAGCTTAGGGGGTGTGGTGTCTGAGCTGGGGGCGGGGAGGCTGCTGAAACACCCCCATTTTCTCTCTCTAGGTCTTAAGTAACTTTACTGAGACATTATTCATGTAGCATAAAATTCACCCTTTTACTTTTTTTATTTTATTTTTTTATTTTTTTTTTAATTAAAGATATATCTTTATTGATTTCAGAGAGGAAAGGAGAGAGAGAGAGAAAGATAGAAACACCAATGATAAGAGAGTCATTGATCAGCTGCAGCCCCCAACCTGGGCATGTGCCCTGACCGGGAATCGAACCCTGATCGCCTGGATCCTAGGTCGATGCTCAACCCTTGAGCCACGCCTGGCCGGGCTAAAATTCACCCTTTTAAAGTGTAAAACGTATTGGTTTGTTTAGTAACGTCACAGTGTTTGTTGTGCAACCGTGGTCACTATCTAATCCCAGGACGTTTTTGTCAACTCAGAGAAAGCCCCCGCCCCCCACGCAGACACTAATTTATTTTCTGTCTGTATAGATTTGCCCATGCTGGCGTTTTGTGTGAGTGGAATCTGACGAAATGTGGCCTGCTGTGTCTGGCTTCTTCACCAGGCGTGTTTCCCGGGGCTCGTCGGCCTCGCAGGGCGCCCGTGCTTCCCGCCTTCCCCGGCTGCATGGTGCTTGCCGGGCCGGTCGACCGTGTGTTGACCCACTCGTCCCCCGAGGGCTTCAGGTTTGCCCGTTGAGGGCGTTAAGCCTGTCTACTTTTTGTCCAGTAGACTGATACTGCTGTGAATGTTTGTGTACAGGTTTTTGTGTGAACGTGTTTTCAGTTCTTTCAAATGTTTACCTTGAATGGCTGGGTCATTTGATAAATAACTGTTTAAGAGGAGCTGCCAAACTGTTTTTCCCAGGGGCTGATTTTTCTTTTTCTTTTTCTTTTTTAAAGACTTTAAAAAAGGATTTTGTCTATTCTGGCTTGTCTCACATTTTCATGTGAGTTTTAGGATCAGCTTGTCAGTTTCTGCTAAAAAAAAAAAAAAAAAAAAAAAAAAAAAAAAAAAAAAAAAAAAAAAAAAAAAAAAAAAAANTGGGATTTTCATAGGGATTAGGTAGAATCTGTAGAATATGGGGAGTATTGCACCTTAAAATTAGGTTTTCCAAACTGTGAACATGGGACGTCTTTCTGTTTATCTAGTTCTTTCTGTTTATTCCAGTGATGTTTTGTAGTTTTCACTGGATTCATCTTGTACTTCTTTTGTTAAATTATTCCTGTTTTACATTTTTAAAAAATACATCCCAAATGGAATTGATACCTGACTTTTTTCAGATTGTTCACTGCTGGTGTACAAAAATACAGTTAGTCTTTGTACACTGATTTTGTACCTTACCACCTTGCTGAACTTACTGGCTCTAATAGGCTTTTAGTGGGTTCCTTAGGATTTTCTTTGTATGAGTCGTGCCGTGAGCATTTTTACCGCCTCCCTGCCGTCATAGGAAGAGTCTGGCCCTGGGAGAGCCTCTTTCTCATCCAGCTTCACCCATTTGACCCTGGTCTCCCCCAGGAGGACCCCTCGCTGGAGAGGCATTTTAAGGGCCACCGAGATGCAGTTACCTGTGTGGACTTCAATCTCAACACGAAGCAGCTGGGTAAGAGGAGGCGTCTTGTCCTGGGCAATAGGTGATGAGCTGAGAAGGCCAAGTTTCCACCTGGGGGGTGTGGCACGGGGGAGCAGGGCACTGAGAGGACCCACGTGCTCCGTCTAGACCTGCATCTTGCTTCCCACAGCCAGCTCTGGGGGTGCTGGGGGTGCTGGGCTTCGTGAGCTCCATTCTGCATGCAGGGTGTGAGGCTCAGAGAGATTGGGGACTTCCAAAGTCAACACAGTCTTTGAGGGTGGGACTGGGTTCTGGGCTTTTCCCTGAACACCCCAGCCATCTCTTGGGTCTGGCCTGTGGAATGGACCTTAAACAGTGGCTCCCTTTCCTTGGGTCTCCATTGAGCCTGTCGTCCGCAGTAAGCTGGGCACGCCCAGTTAGAAGAGATGCCCACCAGAGAGAAGGATGTGGAGCAGGCCTCCGGGGTCCCCTCCCCACTGCCCTCGTGTTGCGCTGTGCCCCCTTGTGCCCCCAACTTGGCCGTTCAGGGGCTCATACCCAGCTGTCATGGCCATGATTTCCTTGTTTCTCTGGGCGAGATTCCCCCTTCATCTTAGGGTCAAGGCCCCCTCCCAGAGGCTGCTGGCCTTGGAAACTATAAAATAATTTTTGGTCCATTTTGGGGATCTCCTCTAGGCTCCTGAGTGGTAAAAGCGCCATTGGGTCGGGCTGGCTCCCCAGTGTTGGGAAGACTTGCTCTCTAGTGACGTATGGGTGTGTCTGGGAGACTTGGGACCCAGTGGGGGATGAGTTTTCCTAGAGGCCCCCTGGATTGCAGCCTACAGCTGGCAAGTCAAGGGTGTCTCTTGGTCTGGTTTCCATGAGGGCCTGCTCCCAACTCCTGGGTCAGCATTCACTGGAGGTATGGCCTGTCCCCATGAGGAATGGGGAGCTGCTGCTCCTGTCCCTGTCTTCTCAAGTTCCTGGTGGAGACTCGAGGCCTGCTAGAGCCAAGGGTCATAGTGGTCTTGCTCTCCTCAGCCAGCGGCTCCATGGACTCGTGCCTCATGGTCTGGCACATGAAGCCTCAGTCCCGTGCCTACCGCTTTGCGGGCCACAAGGATGCCATCACCTCTGTGAACTTCTCCCCTTCTGGACACCTGCTTGCTTCAGGCTCCCGCGACAAGACTGTCCGTCTCTGGGTACCCAATGTGTGAGTTACAGGCTTTGAGGTACTTGTCTGAGTCTGGAGCCCTGGGGCCAGCACTGGCCCCACCCAGGTCCCCATCCTGGCTCTGGACTGGTCACAGTAGGACATCTCCCCCACTCCGAAGGAGATATCATCAGAAACTGAGGTTTCAGTCGGGGCCCTCCCATCAGGGTTGGGGGAGGAATTCGGGGTTAACCCCAGGCATTGTGGAAGGTACTCGCCTGCTGCTGCCTGCATGTGGGTGACATTGGGGCTTTGGACGCTCAGGGCTGGATGGACTTGAGTATGGGCTCCCAAGGGGTGGGGCCAGCTTCAATGTGCTTGTGGGCCCTCACATCGCTGACTGGATGCCTGTCCCCATAGCAAAGGCGAGTCAACTGTGTTTCGTGCCCACACGGCCACAGTGAGGAGTGTCCATTTCTGCAGCGATGGCCAGTCCCTTGTGACGGCCTCCGATGACAAGACAGTCAAGGTGTGGTCGACCCATCGCCAGAAATTCCTGTTCTCCCTGAGCCAGCACATCAACTGGGTCCGCTGTGCCAAGTGAGTGTTCTGTCCACATCCCTCGGAGGCACTCGGGGGTGGGGGGCATAGGGAGGCTGGCAGGTGCCAGCACCATGACCTTGGGCAAGGTAGCCACTCTATTCTTCCTGAACAGCTTCCTTACCTGGCAAATGGGAACAATAATAGCTCTTCCATTGTCCGTTGTTGAGAAACCTCACTGAGCTGATGCATGACAAGTGAGTTATCCTGTTGCCACGGTGACCGACACCTGCTGATGCAGCCCAAGGCAGACATTGGGTGCTTATTAGGAATAGCGGCAGCGATAGGATGGTGTCACCACTCTCACTCGCCATTTCCTTCTGACTCCCCCTGGCAGTCCTGCAAGCGGGGTGGATAGGAAACAGGCTTAGAACAGGGCAGTATCTTGCCCCAGGGCACATGGCGGGTACGTGGCAAAGCTTGGTTAGACCCGAGTCTCTGGCACTAAGGCTCACCTACTTTCCTACTTTCCTGTGTTCTGCTCCTCGGGTTGATTTTGCTCCCGAGCTGCCAGATGGGGTCCAGGCTACCGGGGGGCTGGCCTGGATGCCAGCCCTCCCTTTGGTGTAGGGGGCAGTGCTATGGGAATAGGTGACCCAAAGGACCTTTCATGGTCCAAGAATTGCAGGCACAGATGTGTCTGCTTCCAGCTTTTTCTGTCCTTTCAACAGAGACCTCACCTATCAAATCTCTGCTCCAGGGGAGGAGGTTGGAAGTGTCTGGGTACACTGGGAACGATGGGAATCAGAGGTCGGAGACTGTTCTTGCAGGGACCCCATGCAAGTTACACATTTTCCAGGTCACATGTTCCTTTGTTCTGGAGTTCCCTGATTGCTCTGAGTCCTCACCATCAGGCTCCTGAGAACTGGAGGGGCCAGGCCAGCAGACAGGTGTTGAGCCAGTGCTGGCCTTTAGTGGCGGGGCCCAGGGTCTCCGCCTCGTTGCTGGCACCTTTGTATTGTTGACCCACTCTCAGAGTCACATGTAGACTTGGGCCTGACACTGAGTAATGATGCCAGTGGGGGGCTTTAGGCCACCTCAAGCTAACAGCATCAACAGTCAGCATGAATATTGCCACCTGCCATGTGTGGTGCCAGGGGCCTCCTGTGCCTGCCCCATCTCACAGAGGGGAAGGCACTTTCTCAGGGTTACTCAGGTTAGAGCAGGTCATGTAGCCCCGTTGGTTGCCAGGGTCAGGTGGTGTGTAGTGCAGGAAGGTGGCTGTGGGAGGCAGTGTGGGGTGCCCTTGATATCTGTCAGTCTGCTGTGACTCGCCCTGCCTGACTCAGGTTCTCCCCTGACGGGCGGCTCATCGTGTCTGCCAGTGATGACAAGACGGTCAAGCTGTGGGACAAGACCAGCCGGGAGTGTGTGCACTCATACTGCGAGCATGGCGGGTGAGTCCCCGACTGTCCTCTGCCTGTAGGTGCTTAAGAAAAGCAGGGACCTGGGGAGGAGCAGGCCCCAGTGGCGGCAGCGGTAGGGTCAGCAGCTGCCTCTGTTGCTCCCTGGCTCCGCACCTTCTCTGTGAGGCTGGAAGGTTCAGCCTCACCCCCAGCCCCACCAATAAGGGGAGTGCTTAATCTCAAGGTATGTAATTCTTGGGGCCTTTCTTTTCACTTTCTGGTTATCAGAATGGTGACAGGTCTCTCTGAAAGCAAGTGAACCCAGACCCCCAAAAAGTACGTTGGTGTGTTACCTGTGGTGGCTTCATAAGTGAAAGGTCATCGTGGTCTTGTAGTGGACGATGGCCGCGTCATCGACAGAGGGAGGGTCCTGCATCTGGGCAGAGACTCCCCTGTTCTGGGTTCCTAACTCAACCCCAGCTTCTGCCCCCCCTCAGTGTGGACCCCTCTCAGACCTGGCCATGCTACCAGCCTGGGTGTCCCACGTGGCTATATTGAGGGCCCCGGGCCCTGCTGGCCCTTCATTTTGGGCTTCAGTGGTCAGGCTGCCTGCCTCCAGCCCTGGTGAGGGCACCATCTCTACCCCTGAAAGCCCCAGGCAGCTGGCTGGCCTTTGGTTGAAGACCACTTTCTTTCCTTGTATTCAGAAGTTGACGCTGGGCTTTCTCTTTGGTGAGTCCAGCTCAGGTTACTGCTGTTACCTGCTCCTCCTCGCTCTCCCTGGGCCGCCTGCTCCAGGGACAGGGTGGGAGGGAGGATTTCTGACAGCATGAGCAGGTGCAGGGTGGGACGGTGCTGAATGGTCAGGGTCTGTTCTGAGCCAGCGCAGACCTGCAGCACATGGTGGCCCTGTCTCTCCAGCTTCGTCACTTACGTGGACTTCCACCCGAGCGGCACGTGCATCGCTGCCGCTGGCATGGACAACACAGTGAAGCTGTGGGATGTGCGGACTCACCGGCTCCTGCAGCATTATCAGCGTGAGTGTCCATGAGCAGCCGCACTGGGACTGTGATGTCCCGAGTCTGGCTCAGTGCTGTGGTGCTGAGGGGGGCCTGAGGATAGCCCTGGTTGGTCGGGAGGAACCCCCCGTCTGTTGGGATATCCAGAAGCAGTTAAGTCTGTGACGAGGCTGTCCTGCTTGGAGCCTTGGCCGGGAGTGGAGCATGGTGCGACCTGGCATCCCCCAAGCCCTTTGTGCCCACTTCTGAGTGGCAGAGTGGCAGGCACACTGCAGGGCCCAACGGAGTCAGGAGGTCTGGCGTCCCTGGGAGGCCAGCCATGTTGGTCAAGTCCTGCAGTTTCCGACACCACCACCAGGTGGCAGGGGCCAGCCGCAAGAACCAGTTCTTGCCTCCTCAGGGAGCTTTGGGGTTTGTCACTGATGATGTCTGTTTCAGAGGCTTCTAGAACAGAGCTGGTGTGGGGGTTTGCCCTCTACTTGGAGACCATGCCTCTCTCTGCCCTCCAGGGCTTAGAGGCCTTTCTTCTGCTCCAGGCCTGAATTGGAGATTGAGGAAGGTGGACAGGCTCTGAGGAGTGCTGGGCGGTCAGGAGGAATTGTTTGGACAGGGAGAGGTGGGAGGTGCAGAGGTTAGGAGCACAGGCTGTGCCCTGCATGTGAAGGGGATGCCGTCTTTATGGGGTTCCTGAGGATTATAATACAGTGCAGGGGCTGTGGTTGGGGGGCCAGGCCCACCTCTGATGGGTCGGGAGCCTGGCCTGGTGTTGGTGGGGTGTGGCGTGAGTACCCATTGGGGAGGACCGAGCAGCAGAGTGGAGCCGTGTCAGGCCCAGGTGGTTACAGAGGCAGAAGCTGATGCTGTGGGGTGGAGGGGCCTGCTGGGCCCAGGGATCCAGCATGAAAGGGCTGAGGCCCCATTTTGAGTCCCTACAGTGAGGGGCCATGGAAGAAAAGGTCCACAAAGCAACCAGAGGGAGGGCCTCGAGCCCCCTCTCCCAGCATGGAGGGTTGGGGAAGGTGGTGCCAGGGATAAAGAAAGTGGGATCTCGTATAGAGGGTAGTCAGGGGGTTAGGAGTGACCCAGAGTAGTTGAGGAAAGTGGAGGTCCTGTGGGTGGGAGGTTTAGCAGTGGAGGGTGGGAGATCAATGACTGGCAGGGCTGGGGACTCAGGTGGCATCAGGGTCAAGTCCTGAGGGGACCTGAGGCTCCGTGGAGAGGTGTCAGCCTGGTTTCGCTGCTGTCCTTTCCTCCTGTGACAGAGCCCCTCAGTGAACCTGCAGCATCATGTTCCTAAGCCACCCTAATGTAGACCCGAGGCTTCGGGGGCTTGGGGTACCCCTTAAACAACCGCGTTCCCTCAGAGCTCCCTGCCCAAAGCAGGGTACATGGTGGGTGTTTGTGGGGCAGCAGACAGATCTCACCACCCTAGGCTCCCTTCCAGGGCTCTAGCACCCTCTCTGCTGCTGGAGGGACCTTGCCAGGTCTGCTCTGGTCAGGCAGCGCCCCAGAGGGCTCCATGGCAGAACCTTCTCCCTGAGAGGCTCCTCCTCCCCCAGAGGGCCTGAGGGTCTGTTCCAAGGCTGATTCCCCAAGAACTGCTCCTGGTCCTGTGGTAGACACCTGAGCAGTTTTCTGTTCCTGATCCCTAGGACACAGTAACAGCCACTGTCACCCCTGTGACTGGGTGAACACCAGGCACTCCCAGGTGGGCTTTGGATACTGGAGGTTGTTGGGCTCTTCTGAGATAATTGGGTCCGTGATGCCGTGGAGTGCTGCCAGCTGCCCCGGGGTTGGCTCTGTGGAGGGCACTTCCTAGCCTTGCTGGTTGTTGGAGTCACTTGGGCTATAGCAGGCAGCGGGTGCCTTTTGTCTCAGGCATGCAGTTGGTGGCTCTGGTGATCACCGCAGGGAGCAGCTCTGACTTACCAGTGCATCAGGGAGTTGGTGGGGCTGCTGGCACCCTGGGGTGCCTATCCCTGCAGAGGTGGGTTGGGTTCCATATGCTCCGAGCCCACACTAAGACTGTTCAGACGTCTGAGCAGCAGTCCCGCCCCAGAACCACATGTGCTGTGTGGTTTCCAGGCACATGCAGGCCATCAGCCAGGGACAGGCCTGGGCGGGCAGCAGGCAGGGCTGCTCCCATTTCATAGAGGGGTAGTTTGAGGCTCGCCGATAGTCATGCAGCGCAAAGCTGTGAATCTGGGTTTCCAGCTCAGGGCCCCAAGTCTGGTGTCTTCCCACACCATCCCGCTCTGAGCTCCTTGCACCGTGTTGAGTCTAGTCGTTGACTCGCCCAAGTTCCTGGAGGGTTGGGCCTGGCCCTTGCCAGAAGCTTTAGCGAGAGCTTGAGTCCTTGGTTCTCTGTCCATGGGACCTCAGCAGATCCCTGGACCCCCACTCTTCCTGAGGTGTGGTCATGGAGGGATTTAAAGCAGCTATGCAGCCGCAGGACAGACTGGTACCCTTTGCCTGACCTTCTGAGACTGAAAGGGTCGATCAGAGGCAGCACAATGTTCCCCCATCTGGCCAGTTCGTTTCACCCTTTCCCATCAGCCCTGCTGACACCAATGTGACATTCACAGATCGAGCTGCTGTCCTGGGAAATCCTTGTGGGGCTCCCTACAGCTCCTCTGAGCGAGGGCCACCCCGGCCCAGTCTTGGTTGGTCCCGATTGGCCCTGATGGTCCATCCTCAAGCCTCAGCAGTGCCCCAGGCCTCCCAGGCAGCACCTGACTGGTGTCCTCTCCCCAGTGCACAGTGCCGCCGTGAATGCACTCTCCTTCCACCCTTCGGGAAACTACCTGGTCACAGCCTCCAGCGACTCGACCCTGAAGATCCTGGACCTCATGGAGGGCCGGCTGCTCTACACGCTCCACGGGCACCAGGTGAGGATGGCACCAGGTGAAGGTGTCGGCCTGCGCAGCATGACTGGGCAGGGCTGGGTGCCCTTGAGATGGCCCTACCCTCGGATCCTGCGGGGGGTGGTTTCTATGGTCCCCTTGCTACCTGGGCAGTGGATGAGATGTAGAAATAGGTTTGCCCTTCACCAGACCTGTGAACTTCGTCAGAGTGCAGGGCCCCGCAGCTGAGAAGGGACTGGGGGAGTTCAGCTGGCTAGCAGGGGTGCAGGAGACATCTGGACTCGGTTTTCAGTCTCCCTCTGGGCTGGCTGAATGCTGTCTGTCCCCTCATGGCCTCAGGCATCTCTAAGTCCCACTTGAGGGGAGCCCTGGTGCCTATGCCCTGATTGCCTCGGGGTCTCCCGGCTCTGCAGACCTAGTGGGCTAGTGCTGTGGAGACCTGTGGCTGGGACTCGAGGCTGCTTTGCTCAGCCCTGGGGGTGGGGGAGCCCGTGGAGGCTGAGCCTGTGTTGTCATCAGAAGCTGCAGTGCTCTAAGGTTCCTGACTTGAGGGTTTGTGAGATGCTGTTGGCTGGAGTCGCTCAGCTCCAGGAAGTAGTTCTTCCATTGACCCCTTTTGGGACCTGTATCATCTCCGATGAGCCTCAGGGACAGAGCCTGGCGGGGGGTCACCAGGGGCTGCTGAGGAGTGAGCTGGAGCTCTGCCTGGTGCTCTGTGCGGGTGTATAGTCTTCCGAGGCCCCCCCAAGAAGTGCACCTTGGCCCTTGGGTGACTTGGGCTCTCCCATTGTGTTCTGGGCGGTGGCTGATGCCTCGAGTGCAGCTGCCCCCAGCCACTTCCTGAAGCTTGTGGCTGAGCAGCCCCAGGGCTCCCAGTAGGTACCGGTGCCCAGAGGTTCTGTCACACAGGTGAGGGTGGCAGATCTGAAGGCACTTTTGATCCCAGATGGGTAAACGGAAGCCTAGAGAGTGGGCTGGACGTGTGAGGTCTCATGCAGCATAGGGGCAAGGCTGGGGCAGGAACAAGTCCCGAGTTTTCACCACCCTCACTCACCTCACACATGCGGCTTTTAGAAGCGGACTTGTGATTTTTCCTGGTTTTTAGGTCACTGGTCTGTGTGGGAGGCCAGCAGGCCTAGGGCTGCCTGTGTCCTAGCCTTGCTGCTTGCTGCTGCATTCCCCCAACCTGGTCCAGTAGGAGGGAACCCCATGAACTTAGGTTTGGACTTGGAGGACCTCCTTGTGACAGTCCCCAGGCATAGCCCCGAGAGGGCTGTTTTTCTGCCAGTGGACCAGCAGCCCTCTCAAGCCTCAGGGAGCAGATGCTGGGGTGAAACCTTGACCAAGAGGGGGTGTTCTATGCCAGGGGAGCATTCTGCTTGAGGGCAGGGCTGAGGGGGTACATAGCACTGGGGGAGTTAGGGTGGAGAAAGAAGGGTCAGGGGAGGCATTGCAGCTGGGCTGAAGCTCTCTTGTCTGGGTTGAGGCTGGAATTGCCCTTCAGTTGTCTCTTGAGGCATGGGCACCAGGACAGAGGCACCTGCTGAGATCAGGATCGGCCAGCGCCCCCGGGGTCTCCTGGGCCAGGCCTTGAGCTGGGCCCGAGGGCAGTGTGTCAGCCCAAGAATCTGACCAGGCCATCAGTTGGGAGGTTCTTGCACGAGACTGGCCACACTTCCCATTGGCCCACGTGAAGCCGGCTACTTTGTGGGGCTGGGAGTGGACATCAGTTACAAGTTTATTGCAGGCCTGGGGGATTTTGGTACTTTTTCTTGCAGTTCTGGCTTTGGGACTCTGAGCTGCTCAGGGCCATCCAGCGGTGCATCTGGGGACAGAGAGGTCTTGCCTGTGGGAACTCTACTCCAGGCATGTTGTGCCCGGGCTGCCAATGGTTTCCATGTGCCTGTTCAGAGGCCTCCACACCAGCCCTCCACAGGTTGAGTGCCACCGAGTGATTTGGGTGCTGGATCCAGGACAGATGTGGGGCAACAGGGCTGCCCAGGAGTCTCCTTACCCATCTCCCCCTCCTACAGCTGGAAGACCAGAGAGGGAAGGGCTTTCCTACCAACTACAGCTGCTGCTCAAAGCCTTGTGCCCCGAGCAAGGCCCCATAGCTCTGTGCGGCAGGCGTGGAGGCAGAGTGCTAGAAATAGAGATTTATTTTTCTGTATCTTCTGAAACACCTCAAGCCGTGCTCATTTGGTTTAAGTCCCAGAGCTATTTGGGAGAAGATAGAGGGCGGACGTGGGTGGGAAGTTAAATCTGGTGTTGGTGGCAGTGCAGTTGGTGTTCGTGTCACTGTGGAGTGACTGAGCGGCACCAGGACCTGTGGCATATGGCTCCGTGTGCCCCGGCTGGCCCACGGTGCGGGCAAGCAGCCATTGCTGGGGGCCAGAAGCCCACCCCAGGGCTGCCGTCTATGCTCAGAGGCTTGGCTGTTGTGAAATCACAGGCTTGGTATAGATCACTCCTGAGGTTACTGGGAGCTCGTGCACACAGGTCTCAGCTGGGCCTAGGACAGTGGCCACCAGGGGGCCTCACCCTGCTGGAGGTGTGGTGGCAGTGTGACAGAGTGGCTAGGGCCTGTGGGCCACCTCTCAGCCTCCTCCAGGGGAAGGGAAGGTCATGCCTCCTGGCATGGGTAATTGGGCACCTCCTGGAGAGGTGAGGGGACATCAAGAGGGGGAACAGCTCATTTGCTTCAACCTAAGTAACCCAGATGTCGGCCTGGCCCTCTGTCCCCTGCCTGCAGCCCGGGATTGAATGCTGGGAGCCAGTGTCCTTGGCCGTGGTTGGAAGAGAGCCTCAGCATTCCTGGGCAGCAGCTCCTTCCAGAGACCCTCCTTGTCTCAGGGAGCAGATGCTAGGGTGAGACCTTGACCAAGAGGGGTGCTCTGGGCTGGCTCTTGTGGGAGCCACCACTGGGACACAAGAGCCAGCCCAGAGCATATGCTGGAGAGCAAGGGCAGGAGCCTTTCTGGTGGGACTTTGTATAAGAAGTGGCCTGAGCGCGGGGCCAGAGACCAGAGCACCCACTCCAGAGGCCTCTCGGGCCCCCTCGGACTCCGTGTTTCTGTTTAATAAACACTCTTCTTTTACTTCTGATTTGGGGCATGTGAGTGACATTCCTGTCTGATCAGTGGCAGCCACTGAAAAACTTAAGAACATTTGTGAGGTGGTGGTGGGTGGCGGTACCTGGCTGGGCCTTTGCCTGAGTAGCTGTTGTGGGCATAAGGGTCAAAGTTCAGGCGTGCAGGGAGTGGGGCAAGGAGAGCGGAGAGGTCTAGATAGGCTGCAGGGGCTGTGGAGTGAGAGGCGCCTTTGGTAACCTCCTCCCCAGCCTCCTCCTGCCCTGGTTCTGGCCTCAGGTGTTGCCTGGGCTCCCTGCCTCTGCTGCTTGGCTCCTCTTGGTCTGGTCAGCTGCAGGGGGATGTGGGGAGGAGGGTGGTCTGGTCAAGGGGATTGAGTTTTGGTCCAGATGCTAGGCCTGGGATAAGTTACTGTGTCTTTGACTGTGGGCCTCTCCTTGGGAAGTGGGGACAGTGACACCAGTCCTGCGGGGCTGCCAGGTGGACTGTCCTCATTCCTCTCTGCTCACCCACAGTGCACAGCCTGGCCTTGGTCCTGTCAGAGGCCTCAGGGTGGCGCTTATGCCTGGGCACCTGTGGGTTCTGCGGCTGAAGGTTGGGGAGGCCGGTGGCCGAATGAGGCCCTGTGACTGTGTTCATCCAGCTTCAGCTTCTTGCTGTGCTTCTGGAATGTAGCGTGACCTTTGTGTGTGCTCTTTCTTGTTCGTTCTGATAGGGTCCGGCCACCACTGTTGCCTTTTCAAGGACGGGGGAGTACTTTGCTTCTGGAGGCTCTGATGAGCAAGTAAGTAAGGATGGTCTGAGGTGTCTCGGCTAATACTGAGCGGAACAGGACAGGAGGCTGAGGTTTCTTGGGGATGGGTGGGTCTCCCCGCGTTCTTGGTGGCTTTCAATGGCCATGGAGGCTGGAGCTGGGGGTGGGGTGCTCAGACCCAGGGCCCTCTCCTCCCCAGAGCAGGTCCCCTGCAGGTGCCAACCCTATGGCATATCTCCAAACCCTCACTGCTCAAACCAGTATGGCGGGGAGGGGGACTATTGCCACGAAAAAGCTAAAACAAAGTTTTTAAGTTCTTTCTCCTGATTATAAGTGAATAATTAGATAATTATTGGATTTTTACTGCGGGCCTGGGAGTGTGGGCAATGTGGCCAGAGCTTCATGCCTCATTTAGTGCACATGGCAGCCCTTTGGTGCTGTGGGTGAGGAAACAGAGCCGGGGGATGCCCTGGAGCCTCCACTCTGTCATCTGTTGCCCTTGGCTCCTGGCCAGCCTGTGTGCTATTTGGGTGGGGGGGGTGGTCGTCAACATTTTCAGACTCCAAGGCTGCAGAGGTCGTGTGAGGAGGGCCTATGCTATGTTGTCACCCTCTGCTGAGACCCTGGTGCCTCCTGCCCAGACTGCTCAGCGTTGATGCCCTGCCTCCTGGTGGGCACCCTGGCCCTGGGGTCTGGCCCAGAGCCTGGCATCTGGGAGGCCTCAGGGGCATTGACAGCTCCACCCGTTGGAAGTCTCTCTCCAGAGAGGAAGGGTGGCTGTTCTGAGCCACTCCAGACCTGGTGGGTCGCCCAGAATGTGTCTCCCTTGATGCCCGGGCCTCTCAGTGAGCCCGGCTTCAGCCCAGTGGGCTGATTTTGGTTGCGTCTCCGCCAGGAATCGGGAGTTGGGGAAGAGGACTTTCAGCAGAGCTTGGCTGAGAGATGGCAGCCTCTTCCCATACCTGCACCAGCTCCTGCCCTAGCCAGATGAGGGAGGAGCAGGCAAAGGGGACCCCTGAGCCTTTCCTGGGGGGAGGCCTGGCTCGTTGCTTAGGAGACGAGGGAAACCAGAACAGTAAACACCATTAACTCCTTTAATTCAGGAACGCTGAATGTCCTTTCACCAACAAAGGTACTAAAAATGGTTTGTAGCCCAGGGAGGCCTCTGGGAGGGTGGTGTGGGAGCGGACACTTCAGCTCGAGGAGCCAGCTGCACGGAGCATGGGCCTGGGACAGGCTGGGCAAAGGACTAGTAAGTGCAAAGGCCTGGTGGTGACATGTCCAGGTCCCCTCTAGGCCTGTCCAAAAAGCCTGCTCTCTGCAGAAGTGAGGCAGGTTCCAGAGTTGAGTTGGGGTGTCAGGTGGGGACCACTATCCTGCCTCTGGCCCAGAGCTTTGGGGGGCTTGCCTCAGGGCCCATTTCCTCCATGAAGGATTGGTGAGGAACTTTTCTCCCCTAATTCTGTGTGCTTGTTGTCTCGGCAGGTGATGGTTTGGAAGAGTAACTTCGATGTTGTGGATTATGGAGATGTCATAAAGGTGCAGAGGCCCCCCGCCGCTCTGGCCACCTCCGCTGGAAACCTGGTAAGTGGCACAGGCGGGTCTGAGCCAGTGACTGGTGGCCTGGGCCATGGTGAACAGCACTGGCTCGGAGACTGTGGGGCTGGAGGCTGAGGCTGGTCACGGGGAAGGGACCCTAGTGAGATCTTGTCATTTAGCAAGTAACACCTTGGCCCTTGTGCTGCCTTGTTTCAAGTCTAGAGTGAACAGAGAAGATGTGAGGAGGCTGTCAGCAGACAGACTGCTGTGTGCCCGGGCCCAGATGACCCATTTGGTGGGGTGAGGCCAGAGGCACGGAGGGACCTGTGTCAGGCAGGCCCTGGGTTCTTAGAGGGCATGGTGCTGAAGCCACAGTTGGGTTGAGGAGCACGGGCACCGGCCCTGTTGCTCTCGCTTCCTTGTTTTAGACCATGGAGAGGAAGTCCCTCAGCCGCAAACCATTTTCAGTACCTTTGTTGGTGAAAGGGCATTCCGTGTCCCTGAATTAAAGTAGTTAATGATATTTTTGACAAACATTTTTTGGGGAAATTGGTAACTGATAAGGTCTCATTGACTAAGGTTGCATTCAGCTTTGGCTGAAAGCCACACTGAAGGCGAGGTTGTGAGCCAGAGGGTCTTGGGCTCCAATGGCCACAGGCTGGCAACTCTTCCTCCTGGCCCTAGAGGCACCATGCCCCCCCCCCC